GTGAAGGGATGGATGTTAACTCATCCTATTGTGATGACCATTTCTCAGTATATACATATATCAAATCATTATGTTGTACACCTTAAACTAATACCATGGTTATATGTCATTATATCTCAATAAATCTAGGACCAAAAATTAAAAAATAATAAGTAAAGGTGTAAGGTTTTCTAAACATTAAAAAATATATATTCTTTTCTAGAACTAGGATGTAGTAGGGTGAAAGTTGGCAACAGAAGTCCTAAGAAAGTACGGGCACATCACCAGCCCCGATTTTATCTTCTTGGCAAAATTGTTAGTTTGGAAGGCTTGGTGGGTTAGGAGCTATGTTAACAGTCCCTCCCCAAGATGTGCAGAAGGGACAGATAATGTTGGTGGTATTTCATGCTGGGTAGAGCTACTGAGTGGGGTCTTAGTTAACACTGCTGGAAGGCTCAGATACATTTTTTTTTTTTTAAGATTTTATTTTTTTATCTGACAGATAGACAGCGAGAGAGGGAACACAAGCAGGGGGAGTGGGAGAGGGAGAGGGAGAAGCAGGCTTCCCGCTGAGCAGGGAGCCCGATGCGGGGCTCGATCCCACCTGGGATCATGACTTGAGCCGAAGGCAGACGCTTAACGACTGAGCCATCCAGGTGCCCCGGCTCAGATACATTTTGAGCAACAAATTGCCCTTCCAGAAGGCTCCTCTTTTTCCAGCACAAACAGAAAGGGGTCCCAATGAGGTCCCCTTCCCTTCCCCAAATGGAGAGCTTAGAATTTCCTGATACAATTGCATCTGAAGGAGAGAGGGTTGGTATCTGGTCCCATGAACTTTGTTGATTGCCACAGAGACTATGATAACGCTTGAGCTTTGGCGGTGGTGATAGGCTATTGAGTTGTGGCTGAATCCAACTCCATTAACTGCAATTGGATTTCCTGCCACCTGAGGACACTGTTGGAGAAGAGAAAGTGGTGGGAGCGTTGACGATCAAGGCTGCTCAGAAATTGGCTAGCACAATTTAAAGTGCGGTCAGGCAAAGGAGGCAGAAATTTGCATGTTTTCTCAAACAAAGGAGCTAAAATGAGTAATGGGAGGTAGTTCTGACACAGGCAAGTCGGAGGTGGAACCTGCCTTGGGACAACGTCACAGTATATATCTTTGTCTGGGGATGAGCTGATTAAGGGCGAGAGCCAAATCCTGAACACACCTGCAAGATGGAGAGTGGAAGGGCTTGCTCCTCATCCCCAGCTCCCATCTGACAGAAGGACTAGATTGTTCAGTGGTGAGTGCCTGCGTCCTTGCCCAAGTAGGGGAAATATCAGTCTGAGAGGACATGAGTGACCCCGGCAGCAGGGTCTGGCTCTTGGCCAAGGGGCTGGCAGGTTGGGGGCGACCCAAGTGGAGCAGGGGCTCAGGGAAAACATCAGTTAGACGAACGGGTCCCACGTGGAGGGGAAGGGTGTGCTGGGGCTCATGGCGGGGATTGAATCTACTTTAAAGGCACTGACACAGAGAATATTTCTTCTGGATTTTAAGTCTTCAGTGAAGAGTGAGCAAACGAGTATGGAACGAGTAGAGACACAGATCCAGCAAACAAGTGTTAGTTTTTGTTGTGACTGTTATTACTGTTTCCCTTGAGTAGCACCTTAAAAGAAGCGATCTGTGTGACATCTGTGAATTCAGAGGCTCCCGCGAATCAGCCCAGAGTCCTGAGGCTACAGTAGAAGCCATTCCAAATAGAAGTTCTAATCTTTATTCACTTCACTCATGGTCCTCAAGAACTCATGTTAACTTTTCTTTGGACGTCATCTTCTCTCCTCTTCCCCAGCACTCCCAAACTTCTAAGAGTATCTTGCCTTCCCAGGCCAGAAGATCTCCCTCCCTTATCCATCTGCCCTGGCTCACTGCTACCTCCTTCCCCTGCCACAGCCACCCGAGGAGTGTGATGTCTTCCTCTGGGTTGCCTTTCCCTTCCTCTTCTCCTCCGAGTCTCTCTGGTTCGGAGTCTCTTGGCCTCATATGTGTATCCCAGAAGTCTAGAAACCCTTCTGACTTGGTCCAGAGTCTCCACAGACAGCAGGAAAGGGGGGAAGGGGAGGATAGGGACAGGTTTAGTGAACAATTTCTATAGAGCCATTTTCCCAACTGATGATTAGTTCTTCCTAAGAAACAAAAAAAGAAACAAATTTTAAATTTATTCCTTATCGGTCCATTCACACAAACGGCCTGAGGTCTTTGGTGAGATAACACACACCCGTGGAGGAATGTACGCTTGTATAGGTATATTTACTCTTTTAAAAATTTTTATCTCCAGTATGGTTAACCTACAGTATTATATTAGTTTCAGGTGCACAGTATAATGATTCCACAATTCTATATATTACTCAATGCTCATCATAAGTGTTCTCTTAATCCCTTCACCTATTTCACTCTGGACATTTACTCTTTTTTTAAAAAAAAATATTTTATTTATTTACTTGAGAGAGAGTGAGAGCACTGAGGGAGAGGGAGAAGCAGACTCCTCGCTGAGCAGGAAGCCCGATGCAGGGCTTGATCCCAGGACCCTGGGATCATGACCTGAGCCGAAGGCAGACGCTTAACTGACTGAGCCACCCAGGCGCCCCTGGATTTTACTCTTAATATGTGGCCAGTTCTCTGTGGCCAAAGAGCTCATCACCTTCTCCAGCCTGGGAGCCTCCCTACTCTTGATTCCTGCTAATTCTCCTTCTCCAAAAAAGTCTGTTAGTAGTCTACAAAGACTCATGATCTGTTCATTGAAACCCAAAGATAGTAATAGTCTTTTTTCTTTAATGTACTTGTTTCCTATCCGCACTGCAGCCCCTACTCCCTTTTTTTTTTAAATAAATAATGCACATGTAGTCAATAAGTGGGAGATGAATGTGATTCGGAATTCTCAAATGTGTGGCATGAACAGCCACTTTGGGGAATACAGTCAATTATAGACAAAGTGTCCCTCCCTTTAAGAGGACTACAATCAGAACTGTTTTTCCTAAAAATTGAGTTTATAAGCCACTTACTTTATTGTAATAAAAATATCTGAATATCTGAATTGCAACTATGTTTTATTGCTGTTAGATTTAGACCACAATTAAGTGTAAATTTACCTCTGATATGTTCGCCAATGAGCTGTAAATTAACTTTCACATTCTTAGCAGTCGGATCAAATTCACAAATATTCTCGACTAAGTAACTCTTAACATACTGTGAACGAAAGAACAAAAGTTATGGGAGCACCAGCAAGTAGAAAGAGAGCACCCCCAATTCACCAGTTTACAGAATTCCATGTATGTAAATTTTAAAACAGGCAAAACCAGTCTATGGTGTTAGAAGTCAGGATTCTGGTCTGGTCACTCTGGGGTGAGTGTGTGTGTGTGTGCGTGTGTGTGTGTGTGTGTGTGTATGTTTGAGGCGGGTGAGGGGAGAGGGTACAAAGGAAGGCTTTTGGGATGCTGCTGATGTTGTTTCTTGATGTAGATGCTGGTTACAAATGTTCATATTATACAAATTCTTGCATTTGTACATTTAGGATTTGTGCGATCATGATTGGTATACCTAAACTTGTGTGGGTTATTCTTCGATAAAAAGACTACTTAAAAACAAAACAAAACAACTTACCAGTTTACACTTTTCCCAGTTTCTGAAGTCACCTGATAATTCCAACTCTGGATGAATGAACAAGATCACCCCTATCAGGATGTCATGTACGAGCTTTGTGTTGGCTTCCAGCTCCTGGGACTTGCTATCTGACGGAGATGTGAACTCTGGTGGAAGATTATAATCATAGAGCAACAGTGATACGAAGTCTAGGGAGGTAAGCAGCCGGAGGCTTTCTTGCAGCTCTTGCAGCATGATTCGGAAAAAGAGAACTCCTGCCCGCTGGACTTCTCCTACATTTTCAATCTCTGAAACAACAGAGTGACACCTCACACTGTTGTTTAGTACATACAGTAGTTTTTCATAGCACTCTGAGCATAATACAGTAAACTTCTTTTTTCCAGGAAAAAGAAGACCATATCCTATGGTTCTAAACAATCTTAGTTTCTCTAGTCATGAAATCAAAACACAGAAATGGAATTACACCTGGTGAAGCTCACAGGAAGAGGCTTTGAGGAAAGGTAAAAACTCAGGTTTGGTGGTTGGACCTTAGTTTGAATGCTTACTCTCCCCCTTATTAGTTTTGTCTCTCTGAACCCCCTTTTCCTCTCTGTGAGCAGGGAGTTGATCCCTATTTCCCTGGTGGCCTGTGGGAATTAAATGAGATGATATATGTAAAAGCGTTTAGTGGATAAGTACAGAGTGGATGCTCAAAAGACCAGAAGACATGCATTTTCTTCTTTTTTCTACTTAGCCCACCCTATCTAATGGCAAGAAACCTCTCAGATTAATCCCACACAACATTACTCTATTTACTCCATTCTAGGTAGCCAGAGGTTTCCATGCTTCCTTCTTTCCTCCCTGAGGCCCAAACTGGTTCTGTGCTAAGAGTAGCCTAGTGGGTGTGGAATCACAAGCCCTAGGGTCTAGTCTTGGGTCTGCCACTAGCTTGCAAACGGACTGTTACTTTGATGGGCGGGCATTAGCTTATCTGTAAAACAGAATGTTCCATCGAATTAATACTGTGTAAGATAGTGGGCAGAGCACCCAAAGTGGGGTGCGAATCCAGGCTTCCCCACTTATTAACTGTGTGATTTGGTGCAAGTTGTTTTGTTTCTCTGAACTTTACTTTCCTCGCCTGTAAAATGAGTTATCACCATTCATCTGAGAGTTATTGGTAAGGACTAATGGAAATTACACATGTAAAGTGCTTGCTCCATGATGGGGCATTTAATAAATGCTAGTTCTACTTTGCCTTTCTGAGTCCTTCCAGTTCGAAACCATATGATTCCAGCCAAGAAAATGAGCTTTCATACCCTTTGCTCTAATTTATAGACCATACTCATCAGCCCAAGGCTGCATGAGGGAATTCCTTTCACGTAGAAAGAAATATTGTAACTATTCCTTTTAGGAAATGTATTGCACTCTGTGATTCCCCCCACATTTATTAAACCCAGGAATTCAGATTGTTTCCCCATTCACAATACCTAGGACATAGTTTTTCTTTATTTCTCCAGATAATTCGCCCAGTATTTCGTAGCAGGCAGCTTGGACCACCTTCATCATTTTCTGTAGATCTTTAAATTCTCGATACAGTAACATTTTACTCCTGCCAATGTTAAAATCAAGAATTCCCAGGGCTTTTCCTGTTCTCTCACGGAGTGGAATTATGATGTGGTTTTCTCCACAGACAGAGGCCAAAACAACCTCCGAACTGTCTGTACACTTGAAGAGGAAGTCTCTGAAACCCAAACCAAACAAGCCTAAGATCATACAACATCAGCCTGCTCATAACACTCCAGCCAAATGTACCGAGTTGCTCTCTTTTGTGCCCACTGCGCCCCCACCCCCCCAACCAGCCCTGATTTTATCTGCTGGGATCGCACACAGCTCTGTCCCTCTCAGCTCGCTCGTCAGATGGAGAAGCCTCCTCTGACCAAGCAGCCTGAAGTCACTCTCCATCACGCGGCTCTGCTCTGCTGTCTTTGCTAGACATATACTCATCTGAAGGTATTTGGGTTTTGTTTACATCCTGTCCAGTAAGTGGGGGTTGAATGGCAGAAGGAATGAGGAGTTTATTAGTTCGGGTTCCCTAGAAGTGGAGCCGGAGCCCGGCATGCTTATGCAGAGGATTGATTGAGGGAGTGCTTTCTGGAGAAACCTGTAAAGGTCTGAGGAAAGTACAATAGGGAAGGAGGAGAGGCTAATTAAGGACGTGAAGGCTAATTTGCCAGGATGTGGTTGGAACTGGAGGGTATGATCCTGAGCGAAATAAGTCAGTCAGAGAAAGACGATTATCATATGATCTCACTCATATGTGGAATTTAAGAAACAAAACAGAGGAGCATAGGGGAAGGGAGGGGGAAAATAAAACAAGACGAAATCAGAGAAGGAGACAAACCATAAGAGACTCTTAATCATAGGAAACAAACTGAGGGTTGCTGGAGGGGTGGGGCGTGAGGGGATGGGGTAACTGGGTGATGGACATTAAGGGGGGCACGTGATGTAATGAGCACTGGGTATTATATAAGACTGATGAATCATTGACCTCTACCTCTGAAACCAATAATACACTATGTTAATTTAATTTAATTTAAATTAAATTAAAAAAAAGAATGAAGGCTAGGGTCACCTGGGTGGCTCAGTTGGTTAAACGTCCAACTCTTTTTTTTTTTAAGATTTTATTTATTTGTCAGAGAGAGAGAGCACACAAGCAGGGCGAGCCGCAGGCAGAGGGAGAGGGAGAAGCAGGCTCCCGGCTGAGCAAGGAGCCTGATGGAAGACTCGATCCTGCGACCCTAGGATCATGACTTGAGCCGAAGGCAGACGCTTAATGCTTAATTGTTTAATCGACTAAACCACCCAGGTGTCCCTAAGCGTCCAACTCCGGATTTCAGCTCAGGTCGAGATCTCAGGGTCCAGAAATGCTGCCCCAACTCAGGACCAGCGCTCAGGGCGGAATCAGCTAGAGATTCTCTCTGCCCCTCCCCTCGCTCGTGCTCGCTTTCTCTCTCAATAAAATAAGATAAAAAATAAAAAAAAAAGAATGTGAAGGCTAGCCTCAGTCTCCTCTCAAGGGGAGCTCTGGAAGGCAAACTGAGCCAAAGAATTTGCCCCACCTTGAGACAAGGGAGAGGTCTTTTATCAGTCATTGGCTCTAAGATGCTTTGGGTGTCTGTTTACATAACTGTGAGGCACACCTAGTGAGGGGCTCCCATCAGTCAAGGACTCTCCTCTAGAGAAAGTTCCAGTGTACCTGAAGCGGCCTGGCAAGAGGTATATTAGGGACCTGGTAGGGCATCAGCAGCACTGCTTCCTCAAGGGGACAGAGATTCTCATTGAAATGTAGTAGCCAGGGACGCCTGGGTGGCTCAGTTGGTTAAGCGACTGCCTTCGGCTCAGGTCATGATCCTGGAGTCCCGGAATCGAGTCCCGCATCGGGCTCCCTGCTGGGCGGGGAGTCTGCTTCGCCCTCTGACCCTCCCCCCTCTCATGCTCTCTCTCATTCTCTCTCTCAAATAAAATAAATAAAATCTTAAAAAAAACAACAACAAACCTGAATGAACATTCAGGTATGAGGCCAAACTAAAATTTAATTAACACATGTACTTAAATGTCAAATTAGCCTCCTGGACTGAGCGAGGTTATTGCCTACTCAGCTGCACTGACCTCTAACAAGCAGCCTGTCCCTTTTGCAATACGTGTGTCCATCATTAAGATCTGTTTTACATCTGTCCACAGTTGGGGGGTGGTCCTTGCATCCCACAGGTGAAAGGCATTCCAAGTACTCTCTACTGGGTACTTATTAAAGACCATATCCTCTGCTTCCTCCCCACCTCTGCCCAGCCTGTCTTCTTTAAATAAAAAGTACACGTTCACTGGCCTGTTAACACTAAGATGATGAGCTCTGATAAGTGACGTGGATGTATTTTTTCACAATCCTGGTGGGTTTTTGTTGAATTCCATGTTTACAAGAAAATCATAGAAAATAAAACACTATCATGCTTAAAAACGTGCAATATAAAATGCCAATGAAACCTGTTTTAAAAAGGACTTGAAGGGGAAAGGAATTAACATGTCCCACGCAGACAGGAATTTTTCTTAAAAAAAAAACCCAATTAGAATAGGATTCAGGTGTATACTAATAATAGGCAAAAGCTGTGTCTCTCTACTACTACTACTATTGAGCTACTAATGCACAAGGGGAATGTGTTTTGGCCGTCAAACAAAACAGACATGAAGATGCATCTCATACCTGAAGATGCATGTCTTCCTGAAGATTGTAGGGGGGTTCTTGTGGATTGCTGTTAGACCCAGGTGCCCGGTAACCATCATATTGCGTAAAACATAGTCTGAATCCTTGAAAAGAGGAAGAGATTTCAACACTGAGAGGAATGATTAGACCTCATTTTCCCATTAAAGGTTTTGGGAACAGAAAAATAGGAAAAAAATTAGGAAAGTTTAGATCTCTAGCTTGAAGTACCGGGACATTTTACTTACTCAGTACTATTAAGAATGAGGTATTCACGAGAGAAAAATTCAAATTATCAACATTCTTTTAAATGCACAAACTTATTTTTTATAATTGTGATAAAACTATATGTTTATATTATTTTTTGATGTGAAACATGCATTATAGAACATTAGGAAAATACAGAAAAGTCCAAGGAAAGTAAGAACAATAAAAAATATTCTCCCATGAGGTCTTTGTCTACACCATCTCATCAAAACTATTTTGGTTAAGGTTACTAGTGACTCTCTTATTGTGAAATCCACTGATCAAACCCTAATCATCATCTTCCACTATAGCAGCATTTGACTCAGTGAACAATTTCCTTCTTGACATATTTTATTCACTTGGCTTTTGGGACACCACTCTCTCCTGGTTCTCCTATGAATCACTCTTATATTTATTGCTGCCCCTTTGTCTTCCTCACCTCTAAGAGGTTTTCGAACTATAGGTCATAACCTAACTATGGGTTGTGAAAATATTTTAATGCCCTTTTTTTGTTTTTTTTGTTTTTAGAGAGAGTGTGTGTGCAAGTGGGGGGGCATAAGGAGAAGGAGAGAGAGAATCTTAAGCAGCCCCCCTCTATCGAGGGGCTCCATCTCACAACCCTGAGATCATGACCTGATTCGAAATCAAGAGTTGCATGCTTAAGTGACTAAGTCACCCAGACACCCCATTTTAGTGCCTTTTAAAAACAGCTTTATTGAAGTATCACTGATACACAAAAAACTGCACATATTTGATGTATACAATTTGATGAGTTTGGAATGAGTCTTGACCAACTTTTTTTTTTTTGTAGAGATTATTTATAAGAAAGTAAGATTAACATATCCTGTAAAATATACTAAACTGTAGGAAAGACATTCAATTGGTAGAATAAAAAGGGGTTTTTTAAATTATTATTTGACAAAGATAGAAAGAGCACAAGCAGGGGGAGCAGCAGAGGGAGAAGCAGGCTCCCTGCTGAGCAGGGAGCCCGATGCGGGGCTCGATCCCAGAACCCCGGGATCATGACCTGAGCCAAAAGCAGACGCTTAACTGACTGAGCCACCCAGGTGCCTCTAAAAAGGGGTTTTTATGTCCACCTTTAAAAAATTCTTTGATTAAAAGGGAAACTGTGATAACAGGATCCATAGGGACTGCATGATGAATGGTGCTCCGGGGAACAACGGGTTTATAGTGTGGAGCTTCCTCTTGTCATGACCTCAAGTGTTCACCCAAACTGTTTAGATGAAAAATGTTCTCAACAGAGAATCTGGAAAGATTCTCTGATGTTGGCAACTGAGCATCTAGCTTTTCCTAATTTATTTCTTCCATGGTTTGTTATTTGGTGTTATATATACTATACTAATAGGATTTTTTAGAATCTCACTGTGACTATGTTCCTAGGTTTAAATCTTTAGTTCAAACTAAACAATTCCTCTCCTGTTTCCACCTCTTCCCCCCAAACTGTGTCAATTCGGCCACTTCTGTTAAGACTGGAAACATAATATAGAAAATAAGGGCTTCATAAAGAATATGCCTCATAATAAGCTTTTCATTTAATTTTACTTGGACCAAGGAACTATAAATTCAGCAAGTGCCTCACTAATTATTCAGTAGTGAGATAACTCTAGTCAAAAATTTCTAGGAAACTGTTTAGAGAAAAGAGCTGCAATGATATTATCCCCCATTTTCTTCTGCTACTGGCTTGTTATTTTTTCCCCCCTTACTCTTCCAATACAGGTTTTCCCTGCTATCTGAAAGTAGAACGTTCCTATGAAAACTTTCATGAGCTAAAACAGTGTAAAGTGAAGAAGCAATTACTATTAATTTATACAGAAACATTTTTGAGCATTCCTGGACCCCCAAAATAACCTCTCTTAGGCTTTTCTGATGCTTTAGAACACATCTTGCTAACGGATACAGAAAATAAATTGAGATAAAGCACAGATGCTCATGGACGCTATTCAAAGTGGTGACGGCTTGATGTTGAGGTGCTGAGTGCAGTTGGGGGGGTGGGGAGAGCCTGATGGCACCACTCTTGCGGCTCTGGGGGCTCCCTGCAAAACAAACACCGAACACTATTTCCACTTTTTGCCTTTTTTCATAAAAGCAAAAATTCTCATTGGATTTCTGTCAGGCAGCAAAAACAGGTGACTAATGAGGGTCTTTTGTAAAAGAGAAAGGGCCTAACATGAACTTTTGGCAAGTGGGTATACTAACATCTATTCATTCTCACCTTCTGCATTACACGTTATTTTGTATTTATCCTCTTTTGCTTTTTTCTCTTTTGACAAACATTTTTTTTAAAAAGAATGAAATAAAATAGAGGAGAAAATATCAAGAAACATCACATAGTAAAAGTAGGTATTCTTTTGTGAAACTTCTAAGTGGGCGTGCGTGCGTGTGTATGTGTGTGTTTGTCAGGGGTCAGGATACAAAATGTTTTTCATACAATAGGTCAAAGTAAATATAATTTTGAGCCACAATGATTCCAAACATTTAGATAACCTCAGAGCTTGGACCTCAGACTTTTTCTATCCTCATTCATTCCCTTGGTTATTCCATCTAGTCTCATGGTTTTTGTTTTGTTTTTGGTTATTATGGTAAAATACACATAGCATAATATTATCACTTCAACCATTCAAAAGTATACAATTTGGTGGCATGAAACACATTCACAATGTTGTATAACCCAGCCTCATGGTTTTGTTTTGTTTTTTTTTAAGATTTTATTTATTTATTTGTCAGACAGAGAGAGAGAGAACACACAAGCAGGGGAAGTGGCAGGCAGAGGGAGAAGCAGGCTCCCCACTGAGTAAGGAGCCCGATGCGGGGCTCGATCCCAGGACTCCGGGATCATGACCTGAGCCGAAGGCAGACGCTTAACTGACTGAGCCACCCAGGCACCCTTCATGGTTTTAAATACCATTTATTTGCTAGGCTGGATTTCTCCCCAAACACTAGTTCATATATATTCAACTGCCTATTTACTAGCTCCACTTAAGAGTCTAAAAGGCATTTCAAATTATAATTAAAAAAATCTTTTTCAATTTAGTAGGTAAAAGTTAACTTTTACTTAACTTTGTATTTATTTCATTATAAGAATGGAACATTTTTTTTCCATGTTTATTGAGCATGCATTTAAAAATTTTTTTTAAAGATTTTACTTATTTATTTGAGAGAGAGAGAGTGAGAGAGCAAGCATGAGTCGTGGGGAGGGGCAGAGGGAGAAGAAGCAGACACCCCGCCACGCAGACTCCCTCCCGAGCCCAACACGGGGCTCCATCCCAGGACCCTGAGATCATGACCTGACCTGAAGGCAGATGCTCAACCGACAGAGCCACCCAGGCGCAGCCCCCAATTTTTTTTTTTTTTTGTAGATTTTTTTTGCTTATTTTTCTTTTGGATTTTTTTTTTTTAATCTTACTGATCTGTGTAGAACAGTATTAACCCTTTGCTAAATATGTGGCAATTTCCCCCCACTTTATTTAAAACAACTTATTTTGTCTATAATTTTGGTGCACGGAAGTTCTACCTTATTATGTCATCAATGTAGCAACCTTGCTTGAATTGTTTCAAACTGCGGTGTAGGTTTAGCCTTTCTTCCCTAGATCAAGACTGTAACATTTCCTCTCATCCCTCATTTTCTCAGCTATGCTCACACATTTATTCTTCCTCCAGATGGAAATTAAAATCATTTGGTCAATTTAAAAAATCATTTTGGGATTTTTCTTGGAATTTTGTGAAATTTATAAATAATTCTTGGAAGAAATTATATTTTTAAAAAGTGGTGTTCTTGTCAAAAAAAATCATATGATTTTCTGTTTTATTAAAAAAACTTAGGTTCCTTGGCAATGTGTGTAGTTTGTTTCATGTAGAATCTAAAGGTGACACAGGGTGAAGTGGGGAGAACATCCTGGGCAGAGTAACAGCATTTTTGAAACTGAAGTAGAAAAAAATTACTTTCTATCATGTATGATGAGCTGTGAAACATTACTTGTGGTATCGTTTTTTTCTTCCTCCTGATAGTCTCTTCCGCCTTCCCTCTCATTCACGCAGAAAGTCTGTACTGCCTTAGAAAAGAAATGTGATGAGGTAGAAGGCAGCAATCACTGACTAATCTCTGGCATTTGCTTTTTCAAGAGCCTACTGATATGACTTCAGATAACAAACTGGGCACACACATTTGCCATTTGTCCCTCTCAAGACCTCAGGGAAATAAGAGACTGAGGTCTTGGTTTCCCTGGTGGCTGTTAGCTGGGGACTGCCCTTAGCTCCCAGAGACCCCAGTCTTTGTACATAGCCCTGAGCATCTCAGAACCAGCAACAGGTGGCCCGTCCTTTCCCCCCTCCCTGACATCCCTGGTTCTTCTTCCAACCTCCCATCTCTCAGGGACCACAGCCAGACAAGGTTCTGTGCTTTTAAGGACTTCGGTGGTTACATTGGGACCACCTGGGTAATCCAGGATAATTTCTCTATCTCGGGTGCCTGGTGGTCCTGGGATCAAGCCCCACATCAGGCTCTGCACTCAGCGGGGAGTCTGCTTCAGGATGCTCTGTCCCTCCCCCTGCCCTCACACGTGCTCTCTCTCTCTCAAATAAATAAATGAATCTGAAGAAAATTAAATAAGTAAAATTAAGTGTGAAAAAAAAGAGAGGCAAACCGAGAAATAGACTCTTAACTATAGAGAACAAACTGATGGTTACTGGAGGGGAGGTGGGTCATTGGGGGTTGGGAGAGCATGCAGAATGGGCTAAACAGGTGATGGATAGTAAGGAGGGCACTTGTTGTGATGAGCACCAGGTGTTGTATATATAAGTGAGGCATCACTAAATTCTACACCTGAAACTAATACTGCACTGTATGTTAACTAGCTGGAATTTAAATAAAACCTTGGGGGGCGGAAAAGTGTAAAGAAGCAAAATAAACATTTGGTGAAAACTCATTACATTATAGCTAGGCCTTTTTTAACTGGTGTGATGTAATTATGTCCTTCCAAACAGCAGTGCCTCATCCCTTCCCACTTCACCCATATGATTCTGGTGGGGGCTGCCAGTTAGTGTAAACTCCTCCATCCCCACCCCCAGCTGGGGGGCATATCGCAGGATAGACTAAAAAGAGCTCTCTTGGGTTTTCCAAATTGAAACAAGAAGGAAAGATTCTTTTTTAGTTGCTAAGCATCTGGCTTGCCCTGGGGAGAAAGCCTATCTTAAGCTAGAAGGACCAAACCCAAAGTGTAGAGGGAGGCAGACATGAGGACTGCAGAGAGAAAGAACACCAGAGAGCCTGATGGTACTGAATTCCTGGTACTGGTCATCCTGGAAGCCAGCCTGACTCCCGTCCTTGCTTTATTTTGGTCACATGAGTCAATCAATTCCCTTTTTTGCCTAAGGCAGTTTGAGATGGACTTTTGCCACTCACAACCAATGCTCTTGAGTTGGGATTATGGGAAATATGTCCCCAGTTGGCCTAATAGCTAATTAATTATGGTTTTAAAATATTAGCAAGACACGGGTACCTGGGTGGCTCAGTTGATCAAGCATCTGCCTTTGGCTCAGGTCATGATCTCAGGGTCCTGGGATCGAGTCCC